TCCTTCTTCCCTCCCCGACCCCGCCCCTTCCCCTCTGCGGCCGCTGTTTCCCGCGCCGGCCTTCTCCTGGCCTCCCCGTCCTCCAGGGCTCACAGCGCTCCTGGAATCCAACCCACAGGCGGGTAGTGAGCTCCCCGCCGCTGGTGGTGTGCAAGCCGCGCCTTGTCAGTCCCGGCCCAGGGCCCGCCCAGCGCTGGTCCAACGTGTGTCCAGTGAAGACAGGATTGAAAGGGGGCAGGAGGCAGTTTGAACTGAAGCACAGTGGTCTCTCCTTTGGAAAAACGGATGTTTAAAACTGCTGTTTGAACTACTCTGTTATTTTTATTTTTTAAAATATTTTTTATTGATTTCAGAGAGGAAGGGAGGGATAGAAACATCAATGATGAGAGGCAATCATTGATGGGCTGCCTCCTGCAGGTTGGACCAAGCCTGCAACCCAGGCATGTGCCCTTGACCGGAATCGAACCTGGGACCCTTCAGTCCGCAGGCTGATGCTCTATCCACCGAGCCAAACTGGCCAGGGCTACTCTGTTATTTTTTTTATAATCTCTCTTTTTTTTAATATTTTATTGATTTTTTACAGAGAGGAAGGGAGAGGGATAGAGAGTTAGAAACATCGATGAGAGAGAAACATCGATCAGCTGCCTCCTGCACACCCCAAACTGGGGATGTGCCCGCAACCAAGGTACATGCCCTTGACCGGAATCGAACCTGGAACCTTTCAGTCCGCAGGCCGATGCTCTATCCACTGAGCCAAACCAGTTAGGGCTATAATCTCTTATTCTATAAAATATAACTTTGTTTTTTAGCTCGAATAATAGAAAAGATAAACTGAACTGTCTGACCTTGCAAGCCAGCCATCTAAAGGGGCTGATACACTGATACTGATATTAATTCACATATTCCGCCAAGTGTTTGTTCATCCAAGGTTGCAGGTGTCTGTATAGATACAATATGTACTCAAAGTTACGAGGTGTCTGTGTAGATATGACAGGTGTTTGATTAGATACAATATGTACTCAAAGTTACGAGGTGTCTGTGTAGATATGACAGGTGTTTGATTAGATACAATATGTACTCAAAGTTACGAGGTGTCTGTGTAGATATGACAGGTGTTTGATTAGATACAATATGTACTCAAAGTTACGAGGTGTCTGTGTAGATATGACAGGTGTTTGATTAGATACAATATGTACTCAAAGTTACGAGGTGTCTGTGTAGATATGACAGGTGTTTGATTAGATACGATATGTACTCAAGGTTACAAGCTGTCTTACACAAAGAACGAGAAGGATATAAAAAAGGAAATACTCCCTCCTGTGTTTGCTCATGATTTGACAGAGGTAATTGTTAGGTCGAAAGGGGGTCCAGGAGCTGGTGCATGCCTCCGCCAGGCAGATGGTGATGTAGATACTGGGCCCTTCCTAGAATCCGTAACAGGCCAGTGCACCAGGTAAATGGTGACACAGATACCGGCCCCACCCCGCAATTCCTAACAGGTCAGCTACCAGACAGATGACGACACCTGGAAACCGTGACGACCCCCGTGGCGGGAACTCCCACAGCGCATGCTCCCCGGCCCTCACTGAACAGCTGTATATAAAAAAAGCCCCCCTCCCTGTTGGTGGGGATCCACGTGCCCTGTCTTTGGGGTTCGTGGGCCGCCCAGGGACGCAGAATAAAGCCTTTCCTTTCTTTCTTTTCTGATTAACTGGACTCTCTTTATTTCCTACGCCGCCTCCTGAACCACCTAACCTAACAGTAATCTGCTCTGAACCTGCACGCAATAAAGATGACTCCTAACCAATTGGCTCGTTAGGCGTCTTGTCCAGCTCGCTGATTTGCGATACAACAGAACCCAGTGGTTCTTCAGGTTTCTGTAAGCGCTTGGAAAGTTGTGAGCCCTAAAAACAGAGACCCCAGACATCAGAGGCTACGGTCTAGCATTCGGAAAGATTCCGGAAGTGGCAAGCCCGATTGGAAGATTCTTGGGGTTGAGGCTAGTGAAGATTTGAAACCCCCTCACCCCAACCCGGAGCTGTGTCTGTCTGAGTCAGAAGTTTCTAATCTTGACACGATGGGGTCAGGAGATGTGGGTCCACAGATCTAACCCTGCACTCAGGGCGGAGGAAGTGGGTTCTGTATACAACCAGCCCTGTCGGCCCCAGGAAACTGAGGCTTGGCCTTGTCAGTGTTAGGTTAGGTGGCTCAGGAGGCGGCGTAGGAAATAAAGAGAGTCCAGTGAATCAGAAAAAGAAAGAAAAGGAAAAGGTTTATTTCTGCGTCCCCGGGAGACCCACGTACCCCAAAGACAGGGCACGTGGA